TGTCATCTGCTTAAGCTAGGTTGCAAGCATTTTCCTCCAATCCTGCTGCCACATGTAGCAGCAGAATATCTATTATCTGATAAAATGCCAGAGTATGAGACCTGCAGGCTACAGGGCACTTAAAATGTGACTGGGAAGGAACCAGGAGCTACTTCCTTCAATGGGCTACGTTAAAAAATGGGCTTAAACACAGCAACAATTGGGCTGGCTCAGGAAAGGGAAGCACTTTAACTGTTACACCCAAGATTTCTTTTAGTCAGAATGAACTAGATTCCACCTAACAAAACCAATAACAACTACAATCCAGACAAATGAAAACTATACTGACTCCTTGAGTCGATGCATAAATGCAATAATATAACTTCAATATCACAAAATCACTTATGGCTCTTATTACAAAGCAAACAAATACTATAATCAAAATTAAAATGGAAATAATCACTTGTCCTCTGAAAGCTTAATAAATAGATCTATTTTTCAGTCCCATTCTCAAACTTATCAGTATATAGCAGATACATCTACTGAAGATTTTTTGAAGTAAAAACTCACTGCACTAGTATTAGAACCCATTCAGAGCTGACCCTCTGGCAAATTTTCTGAGGCTGTAAATTGTACGGGAGCAGATTGCCTATCTTTCTCCTGCACGCAGAGCCACTGATGGATTTGAACATCTCTCTTCAAGACAGAGGTTCAAGTCTTTGGATTTGTAGGGCAACCCCCCAGGAACCACACCTTCTGGGCTCCTACGAAGATTTTAGGAAAAAAACAGATTTATGATGAACTCTAGATTTTAGCTAGGGAACTCTGGTGGCCTAGTGTGTAGAGTTGTGCTGCCAACACAAAGGCAGAAGAAGGTTTGAATTCACTAGCTAATCTGCAGGAGAAAGATGAGCAATCTCTGTCTGTGCAATTTATAACCTCAGAAAACCTCCTGGAGGGTCAGCTATGATTTGATGTCAACAAACAATAGTTTCTAGGTAGAATCATCTAAACCAGTAAGGGAATGAGAGTCAAGAGATTAGACAGGTAGTTAGGTGCCTTCGAGTTGAGTATGACCCATAGAGACCGTATGAACAAATGTCCTATCCTATGCCAGGCTCACAATCTGATGTACTTGAGCCCTATGCTGTAGTCATTGTGCCAATCCATCTGATTAAGAGCTTTCCTCTCTTTTGCTGACCCTCCACTTTTCCAAGCATCATGTCCTTCAAGAAATAGCCTATCATAACAACATGCCGAAAGTATGTGAGATGAAGCTTTATCACCTTTGCCTCACCAAGGAGCACGCTGGCTACACCTTCTCCGAGACATATCTATTTGGGGTTTTTTGGCAGTCCATAGGGTATTCAGTACTCTTCTCCAGTTCCAGAGCTCTAAGGCATCAATCCTTCATCCTTAATCATTGTCCAGCTCTCAGATGCAAACCAAGCAATTAAAAATACCATGGTCTGAATCAGGCACTCCTTAGTCCTCAAACTGACATCATTGTTCTTCTGTAATTTGGAGAGGTCCCTGAGTGTAGTCTTTCTCGGTGTAATATGTCTCCTGATCTCCTGACTGCTGGTGTCAAGGGCGTTGTTTATGGATTCAAGTAAGATGAAGTCGCTGGCAGTTTCAATCTTTTTTTCCATGTATCACGATGTTGCCTGTTGGTGAGTGGTGAGAAATTTTGTTTTCTGGACGTTGAAATGGATGAGAGGCTATAATTTGAAATCAGGTAATCTGATTCTAAAGTTTTAGAAAAAGGGATGACTCAACTTAAATAATATAAAGACAGATCCAAGAGGGAAATTCCTATTTTTTTCTCTCTAGTCACTCACAGGTACAGTCATCTTAACCTGCCAGAAAGAGCTCCTTGAATCATAAAATGCCTATGGCCTGAGTCTCTTCATTTATTTGCAAGCTTTCCAAAATGAGTTTCCTTCTTTTCTGTGCTTCCCAGATTCAGAGCATAAACTTTGTCTCATGTACTTTGGGCATGTTGTCAGGAGGGCTAGACCTTGCCATAGTGTTGGAAAAAGTGAAGGGTCAAAGATAGAGCAGAAGACCTCCAACCAGATGGATTCACACAGCAACTTAATAATATCAGCGATGATGAAGATAGCACAGGATAGAGCAAAGTTTACATTCATGGTTCACAGGGTCGCTATGAATTATAATTGAGGGCACCTAACAACAACCTCGCAATTCTGCTTGATGAAACTGAGGAGGACCTGAAGCGCGTGCTGCAGAAGGTCAAGGACTGCAGCCTTCAATATGGATTGAAGCTCAATGTAAAGAAAACAAAGATTCTCACCACTGGGCCGATTGGCAGCATCATGATGGATGGAGAAGAGATTGAGGCTTCAGTTTGCTTGGCTCTATAATCAACACTCTTGGTACCAGCAGCCAGGAAATTAAAATATGAATTGCAATGGGAAAGTCTGCTGTCAGAGACCTCGCCAAGATACTGAGGAGCAACGATGTCAGTTTGGAGACTAAGGTGTGCTTGATACAGGCCATGGTCTTTGCGATTACTTGCTATGCTTGCTATGCTTCAGAGAGCTGGACAATGACTAGGGATGACAGAAGGAGAGTTGATGCCTTTGAGCTTTGGTGCTGGAGAAGAGTACTGAATGTACCTTGGACTGCTAGGAGAATAAACAAGTCAGTCCTGAAGAAGGTGGAGCCAGGCTGCTCCTTGGAGGCAAGGACTCTGAAGCTTCATCTGACATACTTTGGGCATGTTGCAAGGAGGGACCAGTGCTTGGAGTGGGACATCATGCTTGGGAAGGTGGAGGGACAGCGCAGGAGAGGAAGACCCTCGATGAAATGGATTGGTTCTGTCACTGGGGTTATGGGGATAGGCATGTCAGAGCCAGTGAGATCGGCAAGGGGCAGAGCAGGATTTAGCGCTGTTGTACATAGGGTGACTATGAGTTGCAAGTGACTCGATGGCACTTAATAACAAACAACAACTATAGTCTCAGAGCAGCCCTATAAACTAAATATTAACATTTCCCTAAGTAAGAAACCCAGCTGTGTATTTGAACCTCTATTTCAATACAGGGACTCATTGCCCAGACTAGTTTATTCTACCCGCATGGTTTTACCATAAAACCAGAAAAGGTTGTATTTGAGAATTCATTTTGGAAGGTGGGATATAACAGAGCCTATGATAAAAAAGCAGCTGAATCCAGACTCTGGCTTCTTGAGGCACGGCAGTTTTGAGGGCTGAGGGCACTTGTTGTGTGGTGTTCTTTTGGCCCCACGTTGGGGTAGGCAGGGACATGCCAGAGGAACTGGGGGTCTGGGGAAAGGAATTTGCCAGCATTTGGGCTCACTGATGTGTCAAATGCATTAATGGTCGGTTACCAAATGTGGACAGAGAGTGGGGTGGAGTTCCCAGATTAAAACAAGCTTGGAAGGAGTGGCATCCACTTCCATAATAGCTTGCCTCCAGAAACCCTATGAACCTGGAGAGAGGATGAAAGGCACCCAAGCGTCGAGGACTCTCCTTCATAGGGTCGCTATGAGTCAGTCACCTGCGACTTGAGGGCACTTAATAACATCAACATAGAGAGATCAGCTGGCCCAGTGGACAGAAAGCGATGCTACCAAGCCAAAGGTGGGTGATTTTTAATCAGCGGCCCTCAGGCCTGTCTTTCATTGTTTTTGTTCAGACATTCCTCTAGGTCATATAGCCCTGGTGTACAGGTTGTCATACAGAGGTCACTTGTGGTTGCTGTGAGGCTGAACACTGTGACACTGATGTGTCAAATGCCTTAATGGTTGGCTACCCAATGCGGACAGAAAATGGGGTGGAGCTCCCCGATGAAAACAAGCTTGGAAGGAGTGGCATCCACTTCCATAATAGCTTGCCTCCTGAAACCCTATGAACCTGGAGAGAGGATGAAAGGCATCCAAGCCTCGAGGACTCTCCTTCATGGGGTCGCTATGAGTCGCCTGGGACTCGAAGGCACTTAACAACAACAACAACAACAACATGATAAAAAAGAAGTCTCCATCTCTCCCCACTTCACATTAACCACCCCATTCTAATTACCATAGAGTGAAACTTAGGCTCACCAGAACCCCATCAATGTCAGGGGAGACCTTGTGTTTTTTATTTCAAACTAGATGTGCTGGCCTTTCTCCCGAAGAGCCTTTGGTTGATCAAATCGCCTAGGTTTCAGCTAGTAGCCAAGAGTGTTAACAGTCTGCACCACCCAAGGGCTCCTCAAATACGTCCAGCTCTCTTCCTTTCTAGACACCCCCAAGTCTCAGCTTTCATCTGGACTTCCCAAAATTCCAGGGATACGTAACATAGGCTCACTGTGAAGGTAAAGAAGGAAACTCATTTCTTCAAGGCTGGGCGAGGAAGGAGAGGGCAAGGCATCTGCACCCTGCACAATGGTTTCCAAAGCTCTCCCAGCGGAAAAACATCTTTACAGCTCGCTTGTTTCCTGGTTACGTGCATATAAGTGTAAGAAACCAAAACCTTCCCTGCACTTCCCGTTCCTCCAAAGAAGCTACAAGGCAGAGCACGCCAATGTGAGACGTGTCAAATGGAGCGCGCCTCATGTCGCCTGCAGTGTCCCAACCGCCCTGATTTCCGCCCTCGCAGCCTGGGGCCCTAGCTCTGAGCACGCGTGCTGGGGCTCAGAGAGGCCGGTGGAGCACCTCGCCCAGGGGGTGGCTCGGCCCTTGCCGGCTGGCCAATCGGCGCCTGGGCCACGGCCCCTGGCGGCTGCCCCTCCCCGAACTCCAAGGCACCATCTGCACGTGCCAGTGTTTGTGTACGTGCTGCAGCCCGAGTGCAAGGAAAAGTCAGAGCTCAAGGGCTGGGCCGCTGGGGCGCCGCCAGAGCTGGGGCGTGGAGGCAAAGGGCGGGCCCGATGGCTCCTGTGTATTTAAAGTTCCCCTGCACTCAGACAGGCCTGGCACTCTTACCTGCGAGGCTGCAATCAGTGCCTGCGATCCCGCTCTCCGCAGGCTCCTGTCTCTTCTTTGACAAGGAAATGCTGTTGCTTGATTGCAATCTGGAGGTGAGATTCGTATTGCTATTGTCTTGCAGGCTTACACTTCCAGATGCCCTGTCTTCTTAGGGAGCAAGTGTGAAAGTGGATTGACCACTCAACGCTGCCTAGTCCAGCCTTGTCGGTGTTTTGGGCGTGGGAGGGATTCGACAAAGGCGAGGTGGGTGCTAGATCTGTTGTCTTCCTGCAGGTGGACCTGAAGCATCTCCTGGAGACAGGGGCCTCTGTAAATGCACCTTCGGATCCCTGCAAACAGTCGCCTGTGCACTTGGCCGCTGGTGGCGGCCTGGCTTGCTTGCTTCTCTGGCAGCTGCAAACGGGTGCTGACCTCAATCAACAGGTAACTAGGTAACTGATTGTTTTGTGTGTGCAACTCCTCTCTCCGCCCCAGACAGAGCCACAGGAGCATTTCGTAGACGCCAAACTTTACAGCTATTTCAACAGTTGTAAACATGCCTATGACAGCGGTGAACATTAGAAATGCAGAGCAAGTCATGTTTGTAGTTAAACTTTTTCTCGTACCGACATGAAAATGAAATAAATCTTAGTAATTTAGCAAAAATGTTCTTTCAGTGTAATCAAAAGAGAACATTACATTCCTTTCATACTAAGTGTTCACAATCTGGTGACTTTCACAGTTGTGTGATCATCTCAGTTCACACTAGTCAAGTGCTCCTAAGTAAGACATGTGTTGCTATTTCCTATCACACTGGACAGTTTATTTCAAAAGGAAAAAATTCCTACATCAACCAAATTGAACGTTTCACTGTAGCAACTGAAATACTGTCCATGCCTGCAATTGAGAAATCAGTTCCCTACACTTTATGGCAGTCTGCATCTCCTCTTGAATCATACATGCCTGATGAGGGGGTATTTTTAAATCTAGCTCCAAAGCTTTACTTTTTCCTTCCATTTTAATATATTGATGCAACCTATGCAATGCTTTTATTAATTGAAACTGTGTTAAAATAGCATGCCAAGGGAATATCATAAAAAATAGAAAAGTGTGTTTTAAAGATTTTGTCTGATAGTAACACAGTTCTAAGCAACTTCCTTAAATTGACAACATAAAACTTCATCCACTTATTTCCTGCAAGAACGTATTTTGGGGAGAGACTCTATAATTTGTTCTTTTATCTTTAAGGATATTTTTGGAGAAGCTCCATTACACAAGGCAGCAAAAGTCGGCAGCCTGGAATGCCTCAGCCTGCTGGTAGCCAGAGATGCCCAAATTGAGTAAGTATAAAATCAGAGGGTTCAGATTGTTTTCTTTCATTACACTAATGAGACTTCTGAGGTTTAATTTAACTTGTACTTTAAAAACTGCTTAATGTGAATATTAATGTAGACTAACAGAATATCTTATATATTCCATTTGAGTGAGTAAAGTGGATCCTAATAATTTAGAACTAAGGTTTCATCTGTTATGGCAGTATTCTGACTTGTTGTTCATCGAGTATATATTATACTCTATTGACAGCACCTAACAACATCCCATTTAGCTGTGGTTTAGGAAGATTCATTCTGTAGAAGTTCTCACTGACTTCCGTTATGTACTTATTTATGATATTGGATACCAAATACTATTTCATTAATTCAATAACAGAGTTCATTCTCTGCTAGCTCCTGAGAATACAAGTACAGACAAATTAAATGTCTCTGTGCTTCTTTTAGCTCTTTAACTATGAAACTGTTGTTTATATGCGCTCAAAGCACCTTTGTGGAGATTTAAATAACAAATTAACCATTACTTTTGTCTTGATTTTAGTTTACGTAACAAGGATGGACAAACAGCTGAAGATCTTGCGTGGTCATATGGATTTTTGGAATGTGCCAAGTTTCTTAGCACAATTAAATGTATACAGACTATAAAGTCAAGCGAACCATCCAGCAGGGGCCATTGTGTTCCAGTGCTCAGACAGAAACGAAGTTTTGGAAGTACAGAAAGCACAAATGGGAAAAGGAAGTGTTGGTAAGTAGATTTTAGCTTCTTTTTCTTCCTTTGGCAAGGATTTCTTACATGTTAGCATACAACTTAATGTTCCAACTAAATCTTGGCAGTGTTCCTTCTAGTGTATATTTTCATTCATTAAACTGGTTATAGTTAATGCTACTAAATTTTAGTGACCAAAAACTGCCCTTCATGGTAGTCCAGCAGGGAGAAAGGCTTTGAGTGTTTCATGCAGCCCCTGTGTGGTACAAATGATTACGTGCTAGACTATGACCTGAAAGTTTAGTGGTTTTACATGGACCAGAGGCTCCTTGGAAAACAGAGCTAATGATCTGCTTCCCAAAGGCCATCGTGAAAAACTTCTGAAGCAGTTCTGCTATGCACCCATGGGGCCTGGTGAGTGAGGAACTAAGGAAGCGAATAACAACAGTGCATTATGTGCTTTCAGATGCCATGCGATTTTGAAGAAATTTGAAGAAGCTTTGATGGAGATGTCCCGTTCAGCTACAAGCAGTGGCTTTTAGCTCAGTGTACTTAAACTCCTGAGGAGGAAAACTTTCTTCCAAGTGAAGATAACTTTGAAGTATACATGTATTTACATGCCTGTATTCTGGTGTTGTGCATGCTTTGTTTTTTAAGTTATTAAAGACATACCTAAAGAATAACTTCTTTTCTTTCTTTGGTATTTACAATTTTTTTGGGGGGGAGGGGTGATAATTTAAACTATCAATTACATGCAGAATTTGGAATGAAACTTATTCTTTATTAAGAAATGTACAGAATAATTTTATTATGGTCTGAATTCAAGATGTTTTAAATCATCTGTGGTCGCTGAGGAAGGCATAAATTATAGTAAGCATCCTTGTTCCAAAAATCTGGGCCTTTCCATCCACACCAACCCTAGATTTTGGAGAAAAGAAAGGGAAAGCTTTTATAAAGTTACAGGATGACAAGAACTAAATAATAACATGAGGTTCTAGCAGCAGAATACTGGAATAAAACTCCAAATTATTATAAAAAAATTTGTATTTCAACAAAGCCTAGAAAAACAACTGAGTCAACTTAAGATAGTTTTAAAATTTTTAATTCTATAATACTAAATCAAAGAATGCTTAAAAAAAGAAAGTCTCTCTAGTAATAACTGTTATAACAAAACCAGTATTTTATTATAAATACTGTTTTACAACTGGCATCAATGGCATGATAGTTTTTCTTTTTTACTAGTAAAAAACATTGTAATATGCACCATTTGACCTTAGATCTTATGAAATACAGGAATAGAAACTGTAGCTTGCCTTATGAGTTGTATTTTATGCCTTTTCATTTTCTTTAGGTGATAACCAATTCTACTTTCCATTCAAGTAATTATTAATACTTGGCCCATTGTTGTATACTGTTGAGTCAGAACTGACCCAAGGCTGACCCTCCAGCGGGCCTTTGTTGTTGTTGATGTTATGTGCCTCCAGTCGCTTGCGATTCATAGTGACTCTATGTACAACAGCCTGTTTCTGACACTCCCATCCCGATTATCCCAGTCACTGAATCAATCCACCTCATAGAGGCCCTTCCTCCCCTGCGCCGTCCCTCCACCCTCCCAAGCATGATGTCCCTCTCCAACGACCAGTCTCTCCTTACATGTCCAAAGTATGTTAGAAGGAGCCTCAGAATCCTTGCCTCCAAGGAGCCGCCCAGTTTAACCCTTTCCAGGATGAATCCGTTTGTTTTCCTATCAGTCTATAGTACTCTCAATACTCTTCTCCAACACCACAGCTCAATGGCATCAATTCTCCTTCTATCTTCCCTAGTCATTGTCCAACTCTCTGATGTATAACAAGTATAACAGACCATGGCCTATATCAGACACACCTTAGTCTCCAGAGAAAAAACATTGCTCTTCAGTACTTTGGAGAGGTCCCTAACAGCAGACTTTCCCATGGCAATGTTGTTGTTTGTTGTTGTTTAATGCCAATGAGTCGTAGACGACTCATAGCGACCCTATGAACGACACATTCCCGGAAAAGCAGTCCATTCAAAGGCTTGCCACGATTCCTGCACTCCCCACCACCACGCTCCTGCCTTCTGGCAAGGAGAGCTTCCATAAGAGCCTGTGAAGGTGCCAGCCAAACCAGGAACAACATGGCCGCTTCCTTCCCAGCTTCCTTTGGCTTAAGGCCACCTCCTGGTTCAAACCTTAGGCCCAGGCTGGCTAGCCTCACTCTAGGGACAGAGCAAACCTGCACGTCAAACACATTCCTGAAAAAGCAGTCCACTCCCATGGCAATACGCTTTTTAATTTCCTGGCTGCTGGTGCCAAGAGTGTTGATTGTGGAGCCAAGCAAACTAAAGCTGTGAACAATCTCAATCTCTTCACCATCCATCCTGATGCTGCCAATTGGTCCAGTGGTGAGAATCTTTGCCTTCTTGACACTGAACCTCAATCCATATTGCAGGCTGCAATCCTTGACCCTCTGCAGCAAGCGCTTCAGGTCCTCCTCAGTTTGAGCAAGCAGGGTTGTGTCATCTGCATAATGCAGATTGTTGATAGATCTTCCACCAATCCTGACCCCACATTTCTCCTCACAGAGCCCAGCCTCCTGGATAATCTGTTCTGCATACAGGTTGAAACGGTATGGAGATAGGACGCATCCCTGGCGTACGCCCTTCCCAATTTTGAACCGTGAAGTATTGCCCGGCTCTGTTTTGACGACTGCCTCTTGGTCCAAGTATAGGTTTCACATAAGCACGATCAAGTGTTCTGGGATTCCCATTCTTCTCAGAGTCAGCCACAGTTTGTTATGATCCACACAGTCACATGCCTTTGCATAGTTAATGAAACACAGACATTCCTGTGGTATTCCCTGCTTTCAGCCAGGATGCATCTAACATTAGCTACAATATCCCTAGTATCACAACCCCTTCTAAACCCAGCCTGGACTTCTGGCAGTTCTCTGCTGATGTGCTGTTCCAGTCGTTTTTGGATAATCTTCAGTAGAATCTTGCTTGCATGTGAAATCAATGATTCTGTCCTATAGTTTCCACATCTTTGGAATGGGAACAAATATGGATCTCTTCCAGTCAGTTGGCCAAATGGTTGTTCTCCAGATTTCTTGGCACAACTTGGTGAGCCTGTCCAGGGCAGCATCTGTTAGCTGAAATATGTCAATTGGTATACCATCTATTCCTGAGGCCTTATTTTTTGCTATTTCCTTCAAAGCAGACTGAACTTCCTTCAGCACCATAGGCTCTTGCTCATATATTGTTTCATTAAATTCTTCTGTATCTGCCAATTCCTTTCGATAGAGTGACTCAGTATATTCTTTCCATCTTCTTTTAATACTTTCTGGATCATTTAATATTCTGCCTAAAGCATCCTTGAATAGCAATTCGAGGTTTGAATTTGTTCTTCAGTTCCTTGAGCTTAAGAAATGCTGAGCGAGTTTGGCCCTTTTGATTTTCTGACTCCAACTTCTTGCACATTTCACTGTAATATTTTACTTTGTCATCCCATGCTGCCTTTTGAAATCTTCTATTCAGCTCGTTAGTATCTTGAATTCTTCCTTCTGCTTTGGCTTCTCTGTGCTCCAGTGCAATAGTCAGAGTCTCTTCTGACATCCATTTTGGTCTTTTGCTCATCTTCTGTCTTTGCAATGACCATCTGCCCTCTTCCTGGATAATACCCTTGATATCCTCCCACAACTCATCTGGTCTTCGCTAATTGATGCTCAAGGCCTTACAACTGTTCCTGAGATGGTTCTGAAATTAGGTGGGATAGACTGAAAGTCATATTTTGGTTCCCGTGGATTCAGTTTAATTTTCCTCGGCTTCAGCTTGAACTTGCATATGAGTAGTTGGTGATCTCTTCCACAATCAGCTCTTGACCTAGTTTTCACAGCTGATATTGAGCTTCTCCAGCGGTTCTTTCTGCAGATGTAATCTGATTCCTAAACAGGTGAGATCCATTCCTAATCAAGTGAGATCCATGTATATAACCTGCGTTTATGTCTCTTAGAAAACATATTTGCAATGAATAAGTCATTCATTGCTCAAAATTCATTCTCTCTCTAGCTCCACTTTTGTCACTGCGTCCATGTTTTCCAACTACTGAATCTTCTTCTCTGTTCCCAACTTTTGCATTCCAGTCTCCCATTATTATCAATGCATGTTCTATCTATCTCCAACTGTATAAGTTGGTAGAAATCTTCTATTTCCTCTTCTCTGGCTCTGGTTTTTAGAAGCACTTAATTGCTCTGGAGGAAACTGCCCATCCTTCTCCCTCAGAGCAGGTGGTGGATTCAAACTACGTGCCTTTGGGATTGCAGTGCAGCTTCCTGCCACTAGGTCACCAGAGCTCTCTACTTTGTCCCTCATAGATAAACAAAACCTTACTATGTATATATAAATTTATCAACTTTCTTTTAGGATAACTTGTTCATTAAAGACTCTGTTGAAGACTGGTCAGAGTTACATGATGCCATGGTCTTTCCTTCGAACACGTGTTGTTGGGAAATCTGGCAGGACCTAGAGTTGAACTGAACATTCTATAGAAGAAACTAAGAAACTAAGGTGTGTTAGCTCTCATTTTAGTGTAAAGGATGAGGGCTGAGTGATGGTCTTCTTATTTGTTATTTTCCCTCCTGATAAGTATGAAACACATTATTATACTGATATATTGATACATGATATCAAACAAGCTCAAAGTAAAAAAAAATGCTGAAACGAATAGGCACAGAGGAGAGTGAGCCCAGCTTCTTTTCATTGAGGTGACTGGCCTGGAAATTACAGGAAAGTTTCACAAGAGGGTGGAGAGGTCTGCCAGAGGGCCTCAGAATTCCAGCAACAAATATTTCTTACAAGTGTATAGCCAGAATGTTCTTTAGGAGCAAGAATGTGAGACTGTATCTCATATTCTTTACATGTTATCAGAAGGTACAGCCCTTGGAGAAGAGCATCATTCTTGACATTTTTTTCTTGGGATTCCTTGTTATCTGATAGTAGATGGATGGAAAGCCGAGAGCTACTGAAAGACTTTTTTATAATGGGTCTAGTGTTTAAGGCAGTGCCTGGCACATATTAAGTACTATAACAAAGACTGAGCAAACAGAAAATTACCTTTTCCAAAATAACTTGCAGATCTTCAGCACCTGTATAATGTGGATCTAGAATCAGAAATTTAATCTGCCCTGTCATCTCATTCCATGCAACTCCTAAAATTGTGTGGGCCAAAACTCCGCCTCCTACAGAAAAAAGAAATAGCATGTTAAGGTCATACACAGATTTGGACTTCCTATTCAAATTAAATTTTAGAAGACTGATGATTTTTCCTTTTAAGTGACTTCAAGTAGCATTTGTAAAAATAATATTATACCTTTAATATAAAAATATACCATTATATCTAAAATAATTTATTTCATTACTATATTTCTTCTTACAACTGTTTCTCCTCCCTTGTGTTTCCAAATTGGAGGGCTCAACTTCAGTTGCCATATCTGCTGGTCTACTCTTAAGTGTGCTCTGCTGTACATACAGGGTTTTCAAAGGCCAGTTATATTTCAGAAGTGGATGGCCAATCCTTCTTCCTAGTCTGTCTAAATTTGGATGTTCACTATTAGAAGAATATTTAACAGACAAGTATTTTATCTAGCAAGTTAAAGATACTTCCCTTACAGAAATAACCAATACATTCACTGCCCACTGACCCCAAACACATATGACTTGTCTCTACCCTTTCCCTGCAACCTCTCCATTCCTTGCACACCTGGTCAAGCCCTCCCTTCCCCAGTCACCTCTCAGTATGAACACCAGTCACTTCTGTGATGCCTTTGCACTACACACTGCTACTGGTCTCTCATGCTTTTGTCCAACTCTTGTTTAGGAGGATGTAAGTCCAAATCCCATGTAGCAATTTCAGAAAAAGATTTTTGCTTGAGGCTGTACTTAGGGAAGATCCTGGCCACAGGGCTTCTGCTAAGTTCTATGACTTACTGTCTCAGAGACTTGAACAGTACATTGACAGAGAACTACCAGAAATACAGGCTGGGTTTAGAAGAGGTCGTGGCACTAGGGACTTTATTGCCAATGTCAGATGGATCTTGGCAGAAAGCACAGAGTACCAGAAGAATGTCTGTGTTTCATTGACTATGCAAAGGCACTTGACTGTGTGGATCACAATAAATTGTGGCTGACCTTGAGGAAAATGGGAATCTCAGAACACTTGATCATGCTTATACAAAATCTATATTTGGACCAAGCAGCAGTTCTCAGAACAGAGCAAGGAAACACTGCATGGTTTAAAATCAGGAAAGAAGAACGTCAGATACGCACCCTGTCCCCACACCTTTTCAGTGTGTATGCAGAACAGATAATTTGCGAAGCAGGGCTTTATGAGGAGGAGTATGGTATCAAGATTGGAGGAAGACTAATAATCTACGATACAACACAACCTTGCTTGCTGAAACTGAGAAGGACCTGAAACACTTGCTGTAAGAGGTCAAGGACTATAGTCTTCAACATGGACTGAAGCTCAACATCAAGAAGACAAAGATTTTCACCACTGGGCCAATTGTCAACAACATAATTGATGGAGAAGAGATTGAGGTTGTTAGCAATGACAGCTTGCTCACATTCACAATCAATATTCTTAACACCAGCTCTCAGGAAATCTAAAGACGAATTGCACTGGGAAAATCTGCTGTCACGGACCTCTCCTGAGTGCTGAAGAGCAACAATGTCAGTCTAGACACAAAGGAATGCCTAATGCAGGCCATGGTCTTCTCAATTACTTGTTATGCTTCAGAGAGTTGGATAATGACTAAGGATGACAGAAGGATAGATGCCTTAGAGTTTTGGTGCTGGAGAAGAGTCTTGACCATACCATAGATTGCTAACAAAAAGGTCTGTCTTGGAGAGGGTGAAACTAAGTCTCTCCTTGGAGGTTTGGATTTTGAAGCTCTGCCTCACTTACTTTGGGCATGTGACCATGGGATATTGGTCCTTGGAAAAGTACATCATGCTTGGAAGAGTGGACAGACAGCCCAGGAGAGGGAGACCCTGGATGAGATGGATTGATACAGTAACTGGGGCAATATTGGTGTGTTGGCATTAGTGAGAGTGGATCAAGACAGGGAAGGATTCAGAGCTGTTGTATGTAGGGTCACTATATATCACAGGAGACTCAAATGCACATAACAACAGTAACATACTATGACAAGTTTGGAAGCAGGAGTGGCATCCACTTCCTAAACAACATGGCTCTGGAAACTCTATGAACTTTGATGAATGTTAATAGTTGTAGAGGGGCTTCAGGCCTTTTGTTTATAGGGTCGCTATGCGTTGTGCTCGACTTGAAGGCAATCAACAACAACTATATTTATGGAATTACACAGAAGGAGCCTGAGACATGGCCACAAAACATCAGCCTTCTCCCTACAGCGCACAGTCACTCTCTCACCTACTCTTACTTTGCCTTCTAGTATCATAGAATAAGTCTTGTCTGTCAGAGAATTAATATTCTTTAAATCAGTGAATCTAATCCTCTTATTTTGCATATAAAACCCACAGAGGTTTGCAAGTTGCATCACATAGCTAGCCAAATTATTGTGACTTCAGATTCCTAGATGAGTGACCTCCTGTGTCCATCAGCTCTGGTGACCTAGTGGGTAAGGAGTTGAGCTGCTACTGCAACGCGAGTGGTTTCAATGCACAGCATAAAAATGGACAATCTCTTCTTGTGTGATTTACAGCCTCTGAAAGTCGGCTGGAGTTATATTAGTTATAACTCAATATTAGTTGGAGTTATATTAGTTATAACTCAATTCTGACATGACGGCACAAGAAACCTCGATGTGTTGACTAAGTTAAGTCTCTTCTTAATCTTTACTTCTGTTAAAAAAAAATAGACAGGGAGACAATATAGTGTGAACTTAATTTTAAAATGTTTAAAAGGGGTAATTTTATGTAACAGTAAATATTCGTATTAATAAGTTTTACATATTTTAAACTCTATCAGAAGAACTTAAGATTTCCAAAACACTTACCAATCATCACTGGAGTCCCTTCACTCTGGAAATGAGTAGCCAGTTCCTGGCCTTTAGAAGCCATTTCAGAACCTTGACTAGAAAGAAACAATTTTTGTCTTGGATGGACCACTTCAAAATATAAGGTCAAGTAATGAGCTTGGAGGCCAGTGGTTTTTTTCCTTTGTTTATTTATATAATTTGTTTTCTTTTATGGTATATTATTAGGGAATATATATATATAAAACAATAATACACAAGAGTAAAAAATGACTTAGCAATTGAAAGGAATATAGCTTTTCTAAATATTTTTAAGGACCTCACTTTTTGCTTAAGGACCTGAATTTTTTAGAAGGAACTGAAACTGGTCACCATGGTGGGCAGGGACTTTTATTGTATAGACTTAACTATCTGAAGAATGAGGCTCAAGCCTTGTGCTTTTGTCTTCCTGTTAGTAGACTTGAGTCTCAATGTCTTCATTTTTAAATTGGGACCAATAGGACCTGTACTGTCCACATGACTGAGGAGATTTCAGGACTAAAAGAGAAAAAGTCCATGAAGTTAAGGTGAAAATGTCAACAAACTATTTTTAGAGACTCCTTCAAGATCCTATACTATTTCAGAAGACCCTGGGGATGGAAACAATTAACACCCAGAGTCTACCCAGTGAGAGTTTGGAAATCAGTCCCAGCAATCTCCTTTGAAACATAATCAGCCACTGAAAACCTCAGTTCTCTAACACATGGGGTTGCCATGAGTCAGAACTACTACTCTGTAATTGGTTTAGTAATAGATTTTCAACTCTTAAGAAGGGGAAGAACACAAAGTAAGGGATACTTTTTTTCAAAGTGCCATATGGCACTATTAAAGAATACAGAAATATTTTAATGTGCCAAAACTTTGTTTTTAATCACTGTATACTTCCCTACTTAAACAATTGTGACCACTGATTTCCACAACCTGTCCAGATCTCAGCTATAAAATCACAAGTTTGATGTACTTGTATAATAATAATATTACTAAAATTAACAGAGAAAATGGAGTGTAAAAGATAAAACCTAATAGAAAAAGATAAGACCTTATAGAAAACTGTAAGACAATAAGTATTGTCCTAAAAGATAAGCCATAATGGAAAATGGAGTGTAAAAGACAAGACCACAAATCAGGAAAAAGCTAGTTAATAGTCATAGAAATGAATATTTTTTTAAATTTATGTTTTCTAATATTTTTATATTACCATTATAAAAATATATTAGAAAAAATTACATTCTTAGCACACTTTGCTTGTTTATGAATACCATAGGAAGAAAAGGAGTATAAGTAAAAAGATTTGATTTTTCCCTTTTCAAAACATTTTAATGATTTGAGCATGAAAAAGGCTGACTTTCTAGAACTCCAGTTCAAGCTTATTTCTAAATTTTCTTCTAACTAGATAAAATTAAGGATGGGGGAGGGGGAGGGGTTTGTGCGGGGAGAAGGGTGCAACAATGAATGAATGGAATTCCAAAATCTCTGTAGATGTTCATTGAAATGAAAAATAAACAACCTAAATAAAAAAAAATTAAGGATGGATGATTAAAAGCATATCATAAAGTTTACTTATAAACATAAAAGAACTTCAAAAATATTAAGAGTAAAACAAGGTTGATAAAGCAGCAAAGATGGAAAAAATGAAAATGAATGAAGAAAAATGGAATTTTCTAATCTTAAGTACTATTTCTTTGTATGTGACAACTGGCATTTTCAACAACACTAAAAAATCTCTTATACAACTATTTTGCACTTTAATACATACATGACAGCAATGAATGCTGAGGTGTCAGATGCAGGCAAGAGTGATGTGGGCGCTGGTGGTAAAGGTTATGTTTCAACTAAACACGGCTGTGATTTGCAGTGTTTTTGGAGTTATGTAATGAGGTCATCATTAGTCTTTCTGTTATCTGGTGTGGTTTTTCTCTGTTTTCCCATAAAGCAAATTCTGCATAACAACCTGGACTTTGGAACCTAAGTAAGTTGGGAGGTGAGGTGAGGGTGTATTATTGAAATAAAAATCACAAGCTTCACTTTGCAATGCTTTATCAAATCAGAATGTCCTTACCTCACAAACAATATTTTTGAAGTTACACCAATCAATTGGCTTAGTACCAGCTGCACCTCAATAGAGCCAATCCACTGCCGTGAACCGACAAATGTTGCTGGTTTGTCACCCGCATCAACTAGAGCCTTGAGATATTTAGAAATAAGGGGAAAAGAAATTACTTCATACGCAAGATTTGTTATTGAAAAATCACATTTAGAGCATTTCCCTGACTACCCGCATAAAAATCTGTTCCCCTTCAAAACATAAATAAGTTTGAATCATACGGTAATTATATTAAAGACTCAAGAAAAGTACAACGGTTTTAATGTAAAAAGGACTTTTTGAACCTGCTGGATTTCTCTGTGGGTTGGGATGGTTCTTTCTGTGTATCCCTGATGCTTGAACCAAGAGCAGATTGTTTGCAGAGATCGATAAGCACAGCCCCAGCCATTGTCATCGATCCGATCTTGCATATAATGATGATAGCCATATGTGCCCTGGACCACAAAAGTCTACATAAAAAAGAAGAAATATGGTAAAATATTAATTGTAGATGGAAATATTTTTATAAAGGCCTGAGCCATGCTTACTATTCTTAGTGCTAGCCCATTACTTTGTATTTCATAGTCATTAAGTTGAAACCAATTCATAGCCGGTCTTCACTGGGTCTCTAAGACTGTAAATAACACTGGAGGAGATTGCCTATCTTTCTTTAGAGAAGCAACTGGTGGATCTGAACCAGCAGAGAAGCTCAAGGCTTTTGTAACAGAACAAATCTCTATGGACTATGGCACCAGAACCCCTTAGTTCCTTAATATAAATGCTTCCGCAGCTATGGTTTAATATTGACCTTTCTTGGTCTTTTATTAAAGGTTCAAAACTCTAACCTGGCAAGACATCTTCGGACCACCTTGCTCAACTTCACCTCCTGTTAATCTTCCCTGATGTTGATTTTTCTCTGAGTTCAAATATGACAGGGCATCTGACCTTACAGTCCTATAATTCGTGTTCTCTGCCTGGAACAATCTTTTTTCCAAATAATTTTACAGCATTGCACCTTTATTTTACTAAAGTCCCTATTCACCATTAGAAACCTCCCCTAACTCTCCAATATAAATATGGCATGCTCATTCCTTCCTGCTGCTCTGGTCATCACTCGGTCCTGGTTTACTTTATTCTTTTCCAAAGCCTTTATCACTACTTGACCCATTACTTGCTAGTTTTAAAATATCTGAAGGCACGCAGTTCAAGGCCACCAGCTGCTCTGTGGGAGAAGGGTGGGCAGTCTCCTCCTGTGCTCTGAAAACCTGCCAGAAGGTGAGCTATGGGTTGGTTCCGACTCTACGGTCCACAACAACAACAACAACAACTCAAAAAAGTATGGGAGCTCAGTGAAATAATTCCATCTTACCCTCAAGGGTGGTCTGGTGGAACAGTAGTAAGGAGTTGCACTGTTAACCTAAAGGTACACAATTTAAAATCAACAACTGCTCTGCAGGAAAAAGATGGGCAATTTCCTTCCATGCTATTAATTACCTTGACAACCCGCTCAAGGGTCAACAATGGACAGGTTCTGACTTGATGGTACACAACAACAACAAAAGAAAACAACAACATCTTACCTTCCAGTAAGAGGGCTCTGGTGGACTAGCAAGTAAGAACTTGTGCTACCAACCCAAAGGTATATGATTTGAATCCACTAGCTGGTCTAACGGAGGAAGCTGGGTGATCTCCTGTGAGATTTTACAACTTCTGGAAGTCTACTGGCAGGTCAGCTGTGAGTGGTGTACAATTTGATGGCAATGAACAACAACCACCCTTTACTAATGAATGTAACATGTATGAAACACATAATGAATCAATCCTGAGAAATTCTATTGGGTATCAACAAAAAACAATTCATGATCAACTGATTTCCACAGGCATTAGTTAAACTTACCATTCCAGAGTCGATGTTAGGTGGATTAAGAAAAGTATGTGGATTTCTAATATATCCATCTTTGTATGGTTCATTGGGAAAGTGATAAGCATTAGACCTTCTGAAATAAGGTCTGTCATGAGGCAAGTTGAAGCGATCATGTAATTCCTAAAATTAAGAAAGATGAGGAAAAAAAGTCAGTTCTGTAGCTTCTGAACCAAAAATGAAATAAAATGAAATATGAAACAGAAAATATTGGTTATAGTAGTTTTCAAACAATAATAATTTAATTTACTAAAGTCAAAGAGGGTGGGACTTAGTCACCATTTATCGAGTAAGATTTATTTTTGCTTGTCTTTGTACATCAATAGAAACTGGTAAGGAACACAGAAAAATGGAAATAAATTACTTGTTAGAATGGATATAATTAAAAATGTTAGGTTATCTCTTCCAACAGTCTATCAAAAAACATCTGGGCTAAAAGTTTATTTTGACACAGCCTTTTATGTAAGTAATTTATATGTAACAATGGGAAAAAAAAGCAAAGCATTTTGTGAAATCATGTTGAGAGTGCTTTTTAAATCTAAGGGATATGGAAACATATGTTAGATCAGTACCAACTGATTACATAAAATACAAAGTATATGAATGAAACAATGTATACAAATGATTGCAAAAATGTGAATGATGGTATAATACAAAACTTAAAGAAAAGAAACATGATGTATATAAATGATTGCACGCAAATCAATAAAATGAAAACAAAACAAAGCAAATCTAAGAGATAGTGAATAAATTTCAAAGTAAAAGTTAAGTGACAGGAAACCAACCACTATGGCATGAAAAGAAAAATACACATATAAATGCTTAATATGTGCTATTTTCCTATGTATGTAAAAACAAGGTACTGTAAAAAGTTTGACAGTTTCTTCATCTAGTCTAGTGGTTTGAAGAAGTTAATCAAATCTTGTCGTTATTGCCTTTGCAAATCAATTCATAAAGCATTTTAGCACTTACAAAGATGCACAGAGAGTTAAAGTAGTCTACCTCTTCTTTGAGAAAGAAATTAGGAATATATCCTACTGTATAATTTGATGGGTGTTAAGGTAAGCTACATATTAAAAAGATGTACCCCTAAATTAGTCATTTTGCCAGTAACTGTCTTCATTTCTTTGAGTGCTGACTATATTTTCTCCAAAAATTCCTCCAAACCCCAAATTCTAATCAGAATTACTACATATTCTAATCGTCCTTCATTAACTGTAGTTTTGTCTCTCACAAATCTGCAAATAAAAGAAGGGTAAAATGAAGTGTTCACACTGATCGATCAGTTGCTCTAGGTATTTAAACATCTTTTGAATTATGGATTTTATGAAAGGAAAAATACAGACATTTCAAAGAATCTATAGAATACATTTATGTATATGAAATTAATTTAAACATATGGGTTCAACATAATATTTTTTAAAGACTGATTTTAATATGAAATTCCATGAAAGAGGAAATGAATGTAATATATAATACAAATACTCTGCTTCCCATACTTTTAAAATTGATCACAAAAGAATGTTGAGTTGAGAGAATGTATAATTAAATAAAAAAATGAATGATGGTCACTTTCCATCTCCTAATAATAAAGGAACCAGCTTTACCTTTCTATAGGCCTGCAGCTGACCATCTGGAATGCCTGACGGATAGGATATTGTTATGAGATTTTTCTCCCCTGGTAATAAAAAGTGCAATGGTTCAGGCACCACAATAGATGTTCCTTTCATATATTTCAAAATGCATTTTTCCATATCAGTTAGTTGACTATGAATTGCATCAACTAGAAGTTTACGAACTCTGTGAGAGGAAATATATAAGCATATTAACAAAAGTTATCCATGGCTGTGACCAATGAAAATTTAGAGCTAACAGATACTTAATAATAATAATAACAACAACAACAACAATAATAACACCGACAACTATTTAGTGGGCCAATCTGTTAAAGGAAGCCTGAATTATGCAGAGGAAAAGAATATATTTGTTCTCTGTGGATAAAGTGGTTGAAGGTCTTAACACAACTATTTCTTCCAAATGAACATTTACTAACTAGATGCTTCTTGGTATAATAATTACTATAAAGTTGCAGTAAAAACTGTCATACCTTATACCAACAAACCTGAGGTAAGTCTATGATATTTAAAAACAACCTGTGATTCTTTTGCAGAAGGGTCTTCAGATGTGCCAGCAGTGCTAGAGAACACTTACCTTCCCCAGGTTTCTTCTGGAGCAACAGAAATAACGGCATCAACTGGTAAAGTCATAGTGACATAGTGATGTCCTCCGCTCTCTCTTTCGATGATGGGGGTGACGGCACTCAGAGGGGTTGACATTTCCAGCATAAGATCTATATTTACGATCTGCTGCTATATAGATAAAGAGCAATAGTCAATGTGTAGTACACTGAACAACAGCTATAAAGAATGAATGTGAAGAACATTTAAAGGCAACACAAAATCTCAGAGTAAATTATTTAAAAGAACCAGTCTTAAAAATTCTGAGGATGTGGCAAGAATACACTGCTGGTGGAGTTGTAAAATGGTACAACTACTCTGGAAGGCAGTTGGGCACTTCCTCAAAAAGCTAAACACAGAAATTCCATATGACTCAGCTATTCCACAACTTGGAATATACCTGAGAAAATGAGAACTGAGGCACAAATGTAGATTTGTACACCAACGTTCACAGCAGCATTAGTCACCATCGCAAGAACACAGAAACAGACCAAATGAATGGATTGAGAAATTATAGTACATTCACACAATGGAATACTACGCAGCATATACGAGCAGTGTTGTTGTTGTTATGTGCCATCGAGTCGTTTGTGACTCACAGTGACCCTACGTACAAGAGCCCTAAATGCCGCTCTATCCTGTGCCAACCTTGCCATCACAAACGCACTCATTCCCATGACTCCACTCACAGAATTGATCCATCTCATCGAGGGTCTTCCCCTCCTGCCCTGTCCCTCCACCCTCCCAAGCATGACGTCCCTCTCCAATGACCAGTCCCTCCATGCAACATGCCCAAATATATGTCAGATGAAGCTTTGCCTCCAAGAAGGCTTCACCTTCTCTAGGACAAACTTGATTTTTGTAAATTATTGCGTAACTTGGAAGGGACTGGACAGCGTTATGCTGAGTGAACTGACTCAGTCCCACAAGGACAAATATTGTGTAAAACCATTATTGTAGAGTGAGTATAAAGATCCAAGAGGGGTGGGAGAGGGTGGAAGCAGAGGGATGAGGATGTGTGGTGGGGCAGGGGATGGGGGAGGATTAATCATTGGGTTGTACAATTTGATGGGTGGGGGAGTGAGGGAAATTGAAAGAATGTGTTCTTGAAAACAATGTATTCTAATGTTGTAAATAAACTAGTAGGAAAAAAATTCTCTGGTTCAAAATAATTTGGGAGAAGAAATGAATGGGGAATATAAGACTGGCCATGTATTGATACATGCATAAGCTAGGTATATATAGGCTCACTAAGGTCTATTCTACTATTCAAGTTCATACAGATTTAGAAGTTTCTAAAAATCAAAATCAAATGAGCAACATAAAATAACATCATAAAACCAGGAGAAAGGAGATGTATCAGAGAACTTTTAAAAAGATTTTGACTATATCCTCCTGTCTAAAGAAACAAATTTTGAAGTCTAGTACTTAATAGGTTTGAGCTTTACCATGGAATGAATTAATAACTTAGTCTCTGTACTGCAGAAGTGAACAAATATATTGGGAACTATGGGAGCCAGCTTTCTCACTAAGAAAAAGTCGGGAATTGTGAGGAGCAGAATAGGACTTAAGGTATATATAAATGCGAATGCATGCACTACATATGCATGCCTCTATATAGCACGGGTGCGTAGTATGGGAAAAGTACAGAATGAGCCCGGACCATCTTGTTCCAGAAAGTAAAAGAAGGAAATGCTCAAAAATAGAATGTTTAAGGGATCCCAATTTGAAGAAGTCCCTATTAGCCAAATCTTGGAAAACGTGAGCATCAAACCACAATGAGATACCATCTCACTCACATAACAGTGGCCAAGTTTAACAGGACAGCAAGTAATAAATGAAGGAGAGGATTGGTGAGGTAG